ATCCGGTAAGATTTAAATAAGAATGAGCTATGACTTTGATAAGACGCTCCTATATCAATTCCTTCTAAACTTCTTACTAAAATCCAATCACCATTTTATTTCGCGGAAGCACATACTGTATAAGGGAAGCCGTCAAAACTATGAACGAACCATTTGGATCATTCGCATCATTCGGATCATTTGTAGAATAATGTGAAGCGCTCCTCTGTGATGTTTGTATAAGAGAGAAGATATATAAAATCTATCTTTTCTTATCCATTTTCTTCATTTTTTCCAACAGATTACTTTTTATTACCTCTTATATATAACACATCAAAGAACAAAACAAAACTTAAAAAAACTTAAGTAGAAAATCTGACTTAAGTCAAACTTAAGTCCGAAAAGTCTTTGTCTTTTTTGACTTAAGTCAGATTTTCTACTTAAGTTCTTTTAAGAAACAGGCCTCTGTAGATAATAAGTGTATCTTATCGAAATCTCGAATAAACCAATACAGGGACTTTTATATAAAATCTATAATGATATTCGAAGCAGTTGTATACTCGATAGTTTCTAAATTATTAGCTACCTTCGAATTATTTATGTTCGAGTTTTGTTCAGTAAATCAAAATATCTGAATAAGAAAAACGAAATATGTTTTTCTCAGTAGCAGTTATTCTTTTGTATCGGACAGCCGTGGCCTTGTTGACCATTCTTCTTATCGCTAAATATTCACGTTATTATATTCACGCGATTCACGTTATTTATTTTTTCTATATAAACGAATATTTAGCTTTTAAAACATAAGTCACTGTTAGATAGCTGTTGAAACCTGTTTCGATTTTGCATGAATAAGAAATTTTATAATTCACATTCTTTCGATTAGGCGGCCCTTACTTCAAAGCCATATTTTGAGTATGGCGAGATTGTCTTTCTTGGTTACGTGCTCGCTTTCAAAAGAACATCCCAGAAATGTCACATATGGCCAAGCCGAGTTCATTTTTACAGTATTTTGTAGAAAACGGAAAACGGATACTGGGAGCTGAAATAGCATGTGGTAAAACGATTTAGTTGAACGAAGATCTTGAACACTGTCACCCCACACGAACATTTTTCGTTATTTCTGGTAAGAATCTTATCCAAGTCCGAGTGAATTACATAAGAAGTCCGCATGAAAATGGCCAGAATTTCGTGTGAATCCGGTAAGATTTAAATAAGAATGAGCTATGACTTTGATAAGACGCTCCTATATCAATTCCTTCTAAACTTCTTACTAAAATCCAATCACCATTTTATTTCGCGGAAGCACATACTGTATAAGGGAAGCCGTCAAAACTATGAACGAACCATTTGGATCATTCGCATCATTCGGATCATTTGTAGAATAATGTGAAGCGCTCCTCTGTGATTCGTATAAGAGAGAAGATATATAAAATCTATCTTTTCTTATCCATTTTCTTCATTTTTTCCAACAGATTACTTTTTATTAACTCTTATATATAACACATCAAAGAACACATTTACTGTGCTAATTAATTATAGGTAATATATATATTCTCTTTGGCCTTATCACTTCCTAATGTGGTCTTGAACAAATACTAAGAATGATTTTTCGCCACCGTTGTCATAGTGGGTCTGTTCAAGTATTACATAGACTAATAATAGAATTGACCCATGATGCTGCTGAACTATGGTGTGGAACGAAAAGGAAAGAAACAACATATGACAATTTGAACATTATTTTCTAAAGTAAAGTGGTTTGAGAGTCTAGATATTAATAGTCACTTACGTTGCACATCGAAAAGATCCGACTAAGGCAACTGTGATTTTTACTGGAGGATCTTCGTGTTGAGATGATGAAAAAATTAGAAAGCGTCAGTTTACTCTTATATTTTATCAAGATTCTTTATCTCATAAAATTTCTAGTGGAAACGAATAGAACTTGATCTTAAGCTATGTTAACCGAGAGCTAACAATAAAAACTCGTGTTGCACCCTGTTCTGAGATGAGAGAAGCTCGAATAATACTGGATTTTTTCTTCAAATAAAACAAAGAACACTTTTATTAACTTTGATCTCACCATGGGTATTTACTAGGAAATATAGTTGCACATTTTGTCACATATTGGATATGGGACCAAGCCCGCACGCAGGTCTCGAAAATCTGAATCGACAGTTCGATTCAGAATATTTTTCTCTTCATATGCTGAATAAATCAGCTCCGATTTTCCTATCTTATTTTATAGAGCGCTCGTGTCTACGTACGTTTATATTATTCGTTTCGTACGCTGACCAATAGAGAAGAAAAAATATGGAAGACGCCAATATGGCGACCGAAAAAGTAACTTTTTTTAATTAAGTTACATTATTAAATGAGATAAATTGCATATAATACTTAGTTAATGAAAATAGAAGATGTAGCGCGTAAATAGGTATAATGAAAGGTGAAAAAAAGGCAATACGCCATGTATCATTTGATATTCTTTTGTTGCTTGATGAAATAACGAATGAAAACGCATTTTTTATATAGACCGTTATAAGAAAATGGACAAAAGAACCGTTATTTTCTGCTGTTATATCTAAGCTTTTAGTTGTTTTATCAGCTGTCTTTTGTTGCAGAAGTGATAAAAATAAATGAGATGAACTTTCTTGTCGTTTTTAAGATAGGTTTTGCTGATGGGTTGTCTAATTTTACTGAAGGTGTTCTACAGGCACTTAAACTGGGGTTTGAGACCATACGTCGTACGGTGACAACGACTTGATTTTTATTAAAAGTTTTATTTCAATGAGTAAAATTTTGAAAATCGTTTAAATGATTTTTTTGTATTTCCCGTTCTGCTGAACAACAGTGAACGAAAAAACGTGTCGCCGTACGTCCTTTGAGAATACCGAGAGCCTTCCCAACTCTAAAAATTATATATTTTAGTTTTATCACTTGGAAAACTAGGAAGTATTTACGTTGAAGAACAGAAAGCGAAAATTGCTACCTGCCTTGTCTGAATCTTTAATCGAACTTTTTATTTACATCAACGTTTGCTGTTTCAAATAGAAATTGCGGCGGGCTAGAAACATTAAAAGTTGATTGCATCATATTCTCGAAGAAAAATCCGAGTAAAACATGGTGAAATCAAGTTTAGAAAACGAATTAGAGCTACAAAATGAGAGATCAACTAGGCATAATTTTCTTGAGATATGCGATGTTGATATAGTTGCTGATCAAACAAAGTTTTCAGAAGACTCTAATTCTAGCTTCCATTTAAAATTAATGGTCAAGATGACTTGGATACGCTTGCCTGAGAAAAGTTTATTATTTACAGTCAACTATTTTTACAGAAAGCGCAAAAAAGGTAGAAGCCAAACTAAACCGAATAACAAACAGAAAAACAAACAGAAAAACCTACAAGAAAAAAAGAAAATAGTTTTTAGACATTGAATGAATCGTCTCTTGAAAAGTGTAGCACAGTATTCATTCGAGCCCATCTATTTTGTTTCGAGACGAAATTTCGAAACATTGTTGAAATGATTTGACCTGGAATGAAAAAAGATATGATGTTGAGGAATATAGAAGAATGTCCGTCATAGAAGAAGCTGCATAGTTTTCATCACTGGCGTATATCCATAGATGCTTCAAGCAATTCCGAAATTCATGGTAATTCCTGGTTCTTCCTAGTTATTCCTGGCAATTCCGCGTGGAAGGAATTCCGGTAATTCCGTTATAGAAGAAGCCGTATAGTTTTGACCGCTGTCCTATATCAACACATGCTTCAAGTAATTCCGGAATTCCTAGTAGTTCCTAGTTAGCCCGAGGAATTCCAAGAAATTCCATGTGGAACGAATTCCGGGAATACCGCTATGGAAGAAGCTGTTTGGTCTTGATCACTGCCGTATATCGATATATAATATAAGTAATTCCGGTGTTCCTAGTTATTCCTAGGAATTCCGCGTGGAGGGAATTCCGAGAATTCCGTCATAGGTGCAGTTGCATAGTTTTGACCACTGGAGTATATCATTAGATGCTTCAAGTAATTCCGAAATTCTTAGTTATTCCGGGGGATTCCAAGGAATTACGCGTGGAGGGATTTCCAAGAATTCCGACATCCAAGAAGCTGTTTGGTTTTAATCACTGCCGTATATCAATAAATGCTTCAAGTAATTCCGGAATTCCTGGTTATTCCTAGTTATTCCTAGGAATTCCGCGTGGAAGGAATTCCGGGAATTCCGTCATAGAAGACGTGGTATAATTTTGATCAGTGGAGTATATCAATAGATGCTTCAAGTAATTCCGCAATTCGTAATAATTCCTAGGTATTGCGAGGAATTCCTAGCAATTACGCGTGGAAGGAATTCCGGGAATTCCGTCATACAAGAAGCTGTATAGTTTTTGATCACTGCCGTATTTCAAGACATGCTTCAAGTTGCTCCAGAATTCCTGGTTATTCCTAGTTTTTCCTGGGAATTTCGCGTGGAAGGAATTCCCGGAATTCCGTCATACAAGAAGCTGTATAGTTTTGATCACTGCCGTACATCAATAGATGCTTCAAGTAATTCCAGAATTCCTAGTAATTCCTAGTTATTCTTAGTTATTGCTGGCAGTTCCGCGGGGAAGGAATTCCGGGAATTCCGTCATAGCTGAAGTTGTATTGTTTTGATCACTGGCGTTTATCAATAGATGCTTCAAGTAATTCCGGAATTCCTAGTTATTCCTAGGAATTCGGGGTGGAGGGAATTCCGGGAATTCCGGGAATTCCGTCATAGAAGAAGCTGTATAGTTTTGACCACTGCTGTAGTATAATTTTGCATAAAATTAAGATGCAGGAATAATTGTAATTCCTCATAGATATTTATTAACTGAAAAATTGAGAGCACAACTAGCTAAATTCAATATTAGAATTTATACAACGCTCAACCGTAGTATTGGTTGAGTGCGCGAAGGGCCCAGAATTGGCACAGCATCACGAAGATGGTACCGCATGTTTCACAGATTTTGAAAACAGTCTGATTTTTGTTCGCTGAATTCCTAGCAATTCAGCGTGGAAGGAATTCCGGGAATTCCGTCGTAGAAGAAGCTGTAACGTTTTCATCATCACGGTCATCCTCTTCATCATCATCTTCTTGTTTTTGTGCTGTTGTTTGTTGTTTACTGGATTTGCGCCGGTTTCTTGTTAAACGTGACCAAAAAGATTTTATTTGTTGAGGTGTCAACCATTGTTCTGGATCAAACACATAATCACCGGTATTATCCCATAATATTTGCATTTCTTGTGCGACGGATACTGGATCAGATTTCATTCCAGTTGTTTCACCTTCGTCATATTTTTGAGTTAAAAAATCCTTTTGCTGCTGTGAAAATTGTACGTTTGATTTTTTTGCCATCAAGGCCCAGCCGCACGTTAATGGTTAATGTTGTTTATTTGTTGCTGATCGGATTACTTTGAAATTTTGTAAATTCGGAATAGCTTGCAATGTAACATTTTCTAATTTTTGTTTATACAATAATTTTGATTTGTCTAATAATGAATATTTTTTCTGTTCAATATCATGCTTGCCTGTTGTCATATGTATCGTTAAATTACCAAGTCTCATAAATTGTTTTGTGCAGCGTTCTTCTTCACAATCAAATGTCACGAAGCCGGAATTGTTAACTTGTGCTGAATCACTTAAATTAACATTTCCTTTTGGTGAAGCATTTGAATCATTATCTAAATAATTAAAAAAAGTGCAATACGTAAAAATATAATAAAATATATTGTTTAGTTTGTAACAAATAATATATTTACCATCACTCGCTTTTTCGGATAACCAAGTATGACTAGGTTTTGAATTTTGTTCAACAACATGAAGAGGTGATATTTGTTGAACTGTATTCATTTTTGACCATAAAAACGTTTTACCATATCCAACATTCCACGCTCTCCAAACTGTAACTTCAATATCTTCTACTGAACTTGACGTTGCTTTTCTATTGATGATGACAGTGATGATTTAATATCATATTGGATATTATTAAATGAACTAATTCCAGTCCACTCAAGTTTTCGATTTGATGCTGTTATTGGATTGGACGGAATTAAACTCTGATAAATTGATAAATATTTTGTGGAACGTGCCGCCACAACAAATTCTTGGCTATTTGTACAATTGGGTTTTTCATCAACGTAACGACGAATATTACATTTAATAGTTGCAGCCATACGATCGCATGGCCCTTTTCCTGCTTGTAGAAAAATCAACTAAATAAATGCATAAAAGGTTCATCATAGTCGCACATGATGTAATTTAATGACATAAGAGCTTACTCCGTTTTACAAAAAGTTTGGTTTCTTCATACAATTGTTTCATGGCCAATAAGAAATCGCTACTATGATAACAACCGGCATTATCAGTTAAATTAAAATAAACAAACACACTGAATGAAAACGCAAGAGAAAACTCTGTATTATGTAAATAACGCACCACGTATGTATGCAAATTCAATTTCAGGATTTGATGATTTTAATCGAAGAAGAACATCCCGAAGAATACTAACAACTGTTTTCCCATCTTGTTTACAATTATCGAAGACATGACAATATGTTTTATGTTCAAATAATTGTTGATCAGATGCTGGTGATGTTGTCGATGACGATAAGAGTGTTGAAA